AGCTCAGAGTGAAATTGTTCAAAAATATGTAACTATTAGTGACAATAGAAAAATTGAACATTTCTGTTTCAGAATTCTAGATTTTAACCCTGTATTATGCTACCTCCCTGCTTATAATTTAATTTCTGTGATGTTTATGTCTTCTCTTAGTATACATAGATTCTTATCTTTGGATTTAATCTCACTGCATAATAGTTTTTTTTTTTTCCTTCATGGGAGAGAGCTAGATCATAGATAAATACAATTCTTTGTAGAATTGTTATTCCATCACTATTCTTAGCTGATTAAATATTAGGGTGCTTCTAATACTCTGGTATATCTAAGTACTAAGTTGGCTATTAGGGAGTCATGGTAAAAGAAAGCATTGGAAAATACTGGTTAAAAATATATAGGAGAGTTTTGACTCCTGAAAGTTGCCCTCTGACCTCCACATGCTCTGCCACCTGCAGCTATACACATCACACACACACACACACACACACACACACACACACACACACACACACACATAAAATAAATACAATTAAAGTATTTTAAGGGATGTTTTTGAGAGGAGAAATAACTTGGCTAATCTTAAACTGAGTTCTGTGGTGGCAGACGATTTAAGACCCAACCCAAACAGTGTTAAGTCATTCTGCCCTGGCCAATCATTTTCACTAGAATATAAAGTATGGACATTACTTGTGTGATAGTTACCTTTAAATTTTCATGAATATTTCAATGGTAGAGATTAGTAAAGCATTTCAGAGGGAAATGTTGGAATTTATATAAAAGATAAATTTCTAAAATTTGTGCTTCCTTTCAGAAATTTTAGAAAAATACACATCTGAAGTGAAAATATCTCAGTACCCTTAAAGAAGACAGGACGAAATTACTGGTAAGTTGCTCAGAGAACATTTATTGGCACTCACTGTGTCATCTCAGGCAAGAAAGGTACCCACGAAATACTATTGGCACCAATCTTTGGAGGCATAAAGGTGTTGATGCAGCAGCCATTGGTAGATCTATTCCATGTCAGTCCGACCAGGTCAATCAAGAAATGTGTAGCTGTTGTGTCTGGGGTTTCTGATGTCAATTTAGCAATCTGCACAAATGGATTCCCTTCCTCACTTGGGCCCAGGCAGACTTCCAGCAAGAATATCGAAATTGCCAAGTCTTTTGATCGAATTAGAGCTGTCAGCACACAGGATGATTTACCTAATGATGGTTACTGAGGAAAAATAAGCTGCTCCTGTAGAAATAATTTTATTTCTGAAAAAAAGGGGTACTCATTTTAACGATCTAGAGAAAGTGTGAAGAAATAATTTTTAAAAATAACCTGTGATTAGTTTTATAAATTAGTCACATTTATAGAAACTACTATAGTAAAATTATGAAAACAAATGCAATCATCCTAATTTTCAGCATATTTTGCTTTTACTGTTAGAACCATTCATGACTCTTGTATTTGTCAGTGATGATCTTCAGATGATTTAAAAAAATAATTTTAATCAATTTTGGCTCAAGTAGACACTCTCAGAACCAAATAAGAGGTTATCATGAAAGACAGTCTTGTATACATAATGTTACTATACCTGTATTTGGATATTAAATTATATAAATAGATAATATTCTGCTTGAAAACCACTTTTAAAATGAGGTGAGTAACAACATGTTCATTTTTATTATCGGAGAATGCATCTCCCCATAAATCTCACCTATTGACACAAACAACAAGACCAAACCTAAAGTCCCCACAGGAATCTAAAGCTATGAGTGTCAACATGACTTTCATAAGATATTTTGATAAAGAGGTAATGAACCCATTTATATTTTTTCATTATAATATGTTGTTACAGAGTTATATTTTAGCATGTGATTATTAAAACGCTTTCAATTATTTACTCTGCCTAACTTACATAGTAAGATGTATAATGAAGAGCTGGAGCTATAGTTCAGCTTCTAAGAGCACTGGTTGGTCTTACAGAGGACCTGGGTTCGATTCCTTATCCTCACATGGTGGCTCATAACTGTCTATAATTCCAGTTTTGTGGGATCCAAGGCACTCTTCTGTCACCAGGCATACATGAAGTGCACAGGCAAAATGCAGTCAAAACACCCATACATAAAGTAAAACTAAATTTAAAAATACCTAATAAATATGGACCCATAGAATATAATGTAGTATATAGAGGATTAGGAGCTATGTATGCTTTCAGGCATGCCCTTAGATATTGGCCCTTATTTCCTGTAGATGAAGGGGGTGCCTGTATACCTAAAAATATAAGGACTAATTAGCGAATGACTAGATAGGGAGTATCCACCAAAAGGCTGGATGGACAGAAGATGGCGCTGGTTCACCAAGATTCTAATGTCATACATGGATTGGTTCATTGAAAACATTTCAGCAATTGGCCAGACCCTACTCTAGTCCACTCATGAGTTCATTGCTGAATGGTAGCAAGGTCCTGTTGGAAGTAGAGTTCTTGTTTCATTAAATGAATTAAAACTGAAGTCAGAGCTAGATTGCTCTTGTCAACTAAAGGATATTAGAGACAGAAGGGGAAAGAAAGAAAGAAAGAAAGAAAGAAAGAAAGAAAGAAAGAAAGAAAGAAAGAAAACAGAACATTGAATGTAAGTCTGTAAGTCTAAAGGTTTTTTAAAGAGAACAGAAATGAGTGTGTGTGTGTGTGTGTGTGTGTGTGTGTGTGTGTGTGTGTGTGTGTGTATGCACACAAAAATATAAGCATGCATGCACATGTATAGATGTGTGTAGTGTTCTCTGAGGTATAAAGTTGACAAACTTCCAGGGTACTTATAACTAGTCACTGGGATATGACTTAACTAAACCTGGGTCAACAATGGAGCATCCAATCTGCCTATCTCTTCCTCATCACCGCCTGATCTATTCCTTACATTTCTACTAGCACCTTTCCAACCCAACAGCTTTCTGAGGCCACATGAACTGCAATAAAGTCTTGTACCTGTTATTCATATTCATAATGCAAAGTTAGACGAAGGAACTGTTCTTGAAGTGTTAGAAAACACAGCAAATTCAGATATAGAAGAAGTTTGAGGGAATGTCCCATGCATTCAACTTTCTCTTTGGCATCCATCAGTTGATTTTGGAAGGTCTTTTAACAAATAGAAAACACATGGTGCATAGTACTGAGTGATGCCAGTTCATTTGTGTGGATTAAAGAAGAACTAAAACCAATGATTCTCAAATTATTTCATAAAAAAAGAAAAGGAAAGAATGCTTCCAAATTCTTTTTATGAAGCCAGCAGTACACTTAATACCTAGACCAGGCAAAGATACACATAGAAAGAAAAGTATAGATAAATATCTCTGGTGAACATGGATTCAAAAATCTCAATAAAATACATTTAAATCAAATTCAAGAACACATCAAAAATCACAATCAAGTTGACTTCATCTCAGAGATGTAGGGATATTTCAATATATATGAATCAATAAATATAATCTATCACATTAATAGACTCAAAGACATAAACCACATGATCATCCACTAGGGTGGATGTAGAGTATTAAATCCTTTTTAATTGTTAGTTTAAATTACTCACTTGTCTTCTAAGAGAGAACCCTACATTTGGCTTTCCTCTTTCGGGCCCAAATAAATGATGTGGTCCCTACATCCCCCTACATCATGCCTGCAGTATTCTCACCTGCCCATCTCCTCCCCTTTTCACGGGCTTCTTTGTTTCTTGTGTGGGAGGCAAGCGTCACCTCCTAGCTCATACAGTGGTCATTCCATGTTTCTGTCTGAAAAGGTATGACCTTCCATGCCAGGCCTCTCCCTGGCCCTCTCTCTTATCTCCTCTTTTATTTATCTAAATTATTACTTTCTTAGTGATGTCTTTCCTGGCCTCCCTGTTTAAAACTACATTCCTACTCCTGTTTAGCATCTCAGTCACTCATGAAGACTGAAAGCAGATCTAGCCCACCCACTCTTATTATAGAAGCACAGTGCCATTAACAGTCAATTCACAGAGTGCTTTCTACCCTGCATGCACAATAATTTGTGAAGCTTTTATCCTTTTGAAAATATTTGTTGTGCTGGGCATGGTGGCGCATGCCTTTAATACCAGCACTCAGGAGGCAGAAGCAGGTGGATCTCTGTGAGTTCCAGGCCAGCCTGGTCTACAAAGCAAGTTCCAGGACAGCCATGGCTACACAGAGAAACCCTGTCTGGAAAAACAAACAAACTATATATATATATATATATATTCAATCATGTGTATGCATGTGTGTCTGTGTGTCTGTGTGTGTGCATATATCTGCAGATGTGGAGGACAGAAGAGATCATTGAATACTGGAGCTGGAGCTATCGGCTGTGATGAGCTGCCTATTGGAACAAAACCTGGGTCCTCAGTAAGATCAGTGAGTACTCTTAACCATGGAGCCATCTTTCCAGCCCCTGGCTTTTATTGTTGACTAAACTGCTAGACACTTGGGTAGACACAGCAAGAGCTAGCAGCCTTGTGTGGTGCTAAAACAGCCTTGAAAGCATCACTGAAAAAGCAGAGAGGTTCTTTGTTTGTTCATTTTTGTGCTTTTTGTTTTGTTTTGGTTTTTTGAGACAGGGTTTCTCTGTGTAGCCCTGGCTGTCCTGGAACTAGCTCTGTAGACCAGGCTGGCCTTGAACTCAAGACATCCACTGGCCTCTGCCTCCCCAATGCTGGGATTAAAGGTGTGTGCTGCCACCACCACCCAGCAAGCACAGAGGTTCTTATCCCCTGCAATTTGTCATGTTATTGCCCCATACCTCACATCTGCATGAATGACTGCCGCTCACCGGCACACACATCAGCAGTTCAGGTGACATGAACAGCATAATCCCTTCTTAGCCAGCAACAGAGCCAACTTTCTCATGAATAACCAAATTCCAAATACCAGCAAGAGTTTATGTATTTTATAAAAGAAAAACATCAAGTGGAAGAAAGTCCAAATTATTAGAATAGTTAAAGAGACGTAAAGTGATAGGATGATCAAACTGTACCTTGGGTAGCTAACTCTTTCCATCTCTCTTTGTTCTGCTGAATGATGTCCACTAGGTTGTTTTTGAAGCTCTTCAGGTCCACAGATGACAGAGAGTAGTCTGGAGTATAGCTCCCATCACTCATGGGGCCTTTTGAATTTGAACGCCTCAGGGAATCAGCAACCATGGTGGATGAGCTACCATTGACAACCAAAGAAATCAAAAGGCAACAAGGTCAAGATACCATATGAGACAAGATGCACTGGAATAGAACAGCAGTCATCCAGGCCCAGATGTGAGCATGTGGCAGGTGCTTACCCCCATGTCCACTTTCCCACATGGAGAGGACCTGGGACTCTCCTTAACACACCCTAGAATACTTCACTAATTTCTTTCCTCTCTCTGTTTTTCTTAATTGAAAAAAGAATATTTTTCATACAATATATTCTGATTAAGGTTTCATCTCTCCCCATACATCCCAGTTCCTCCAGCGTCCCCTCCCATCCAATCCACACCCTTTCTCTTCTCTGTAATAGTGAACTGTGATCAGTGGCAAAGGGAGTGCACTACAATAAAGAGCCACAAGATGGCAATACTACCTAATAATTATTGTAAGACCTGCCAGCCTACCTTTGAGGAAAGGGATAATCCTAAAATTAAAAAAAAAAAAAAAAAAAAAGAAAGAAAGAAAGAAAAAAAATGCAAAAAAAAAAAAATTACCTGCTTGCCCCATAGTTACAAGATGCCGATTTTGAGGATTCCTCTATAAGAGGAATAACAATTTTCTCTGTTGAGTCTGTCAGGAGAGAAAACGTTGGCTCCACTATGAAATCAATGAAACCTGAAAAAGCAAAATACACAGAATGATACATTCAAGTGTTCCAGTTTCCTGATTCCCATAGTAAGTCATAGTGAGGACTAGAAAGACAATCGCTCACTACAGAATCGGCAGAGGCGAGTAAATGCTCTGGATAACAATGCATCCACTAGTAGTAAGTAAACTTCCTAGCTCAGGCACTTGCTCTTCCCTATTCAGTATTCCACCCTTTGTGCTGTTCTAACTGTCCAGCCAGCTTTAATGATCAGGACTGTCTTTTCTTCTCAACAAGAGGTCATTACCCTTTGGAATGGTCCTCACTTGGTTTTGGTCACTGTGTGCCAGAAAGAAACACTATCTAACTTCTAAAGAAACCAGCTAATTGAAGGTCCCCAGGCCACAGGAAGACAGCTACTTTCATTTTATCTTTATCTTTTTTCCCCTTACTGCATCAGAGTGCTCTGTCAATGCACTATTATTTCAAATTGCTGTTTATTATTCTCAGAATGTAAAGCGCTAGTTCACAGTGCGTGGGTGTGTGCTGTCAAATTGGCAGAGAGAACACTACAATCTCCAGCAGACAGCACTAATCCCACCACTTTGAAATGTCAGGATTGAGTGATGACTTCAATTTAAAGTGCTCATCAAGATGGAGAGTGACAGGCAAAGAGCAGAGCCTTGTCCGCTGCTCTGCATCTGCCTCTTGGGGTTGAGGAAAAAGAGGAGACAATAACTGTTTTAAGCTCCGGGAATGCAATGCTTGAGGCCCAAGAGCAATTGGATGCTTCTTGCCTTGAACCCACCTGGGAACAGAGACTAACCTGTGAGTACGAGAAAAAAAGAGAGTCTTGAAATGACCTATGCATACATGCAAATTATCCATTGAATGCTTGACCAAACTATTAGATGCTTGACACTTCTCAAGTACATGTGAAGACATGCCTCAATTTTTAACAAAAGCTTTCAATTTTGTGTCTTAATTGACACTTCAGTTCAAAGTGAAATTAGTTGTCTACCCAGAGTTTTATCTCCCGAGCACAGGTAGACTGTCCAGTGAGTCAGCACCTCTACTAACTAATGTAAGAGGCACTGGGAGTCTGTCATCCCCAACTTAATAGATGAGGTCCTGAGTCTACAATATCCACATTTTCTGAACAGTTATAAGCACTGGTGTTTTATTCACTGAACAGCTCTTCGAGTTTGGCTGGAAAGGGGACAGTTCCAGGAAGAAGCTTTGCCACTGTCCTCCAGCTCTGTGATAGGTGCACCAGAATAGGCATGCCGATCCCTACATCACATAGCTTTGTAAAGAGGACGCAGGCTTTCAGAATGCTATCAGATATTAAAACCATGCAGCTTAGCAAGTATGTGTTTTCATAATGAACTGAGTTGTAGTTCCCTACACAAATAAAGGTAAGAATAAATGTGGCTGGGAATGATATCATTGTGCACATCTCCTGATGCTGATTTATCGGTTCATATCTCAAGAAATTCCCCCCTAAAGAATATGAATTTGCATTAAGCATATTATGAAAAGTTAGCAATAACACAACAGGAAAGTTAATATTTTCTTTGAATTCCTTTATGCCTAAAGGATTAAATTATAGAAAATAATAACCAGCAATATGACATAACAAAAGAACCAATCGCTTACACAAGAAGGAAGTCCTTATTTACTAGGATTACAACCAAGAATAAGAATTGTATTGACTAAGAGTGCTTTGAGTCAAGCATGAGCATAGGGAATAGTTTAGTAACCTGGGACTCTACTTGGTTTATTATGCATACCACCTTCCAGTACTGCACTTGGCAGTCTAGCTCCTTTACTTGTGTGTTCTATGCACACATACCCCTCTCTATATGATTCACCTAAAAACCACAGACTTCCTCCTCATCCAGCTATATCTAGACCCCTCTATGGATAACGGGATAAGTTTCCATTCCCCTAACAACAATCAAACTTAGAATAGTTTCTACTCAATTAGAAGCTCTCCAGGAAGGGACATGAATGGTAGGAAGATGACCATGTGATCTAATCTAGCACTCAAAATAAAGAACTGCCACAAGTATACCCCTTAGAACCTGTCCTCTCTTTCATTTAGAACACATAAAGAGACTCTAGGCTGTAACCTGGGTCATGGTCTACTGCTCCTATGCAGTGTATTCAAATCTTTTCTATTGAGTTCCTTTAAATAAAGTTGCCTTGCTGAAAATATTCCTGAAAATCTGTGTGGGCTTTTTTTTTTCTGTGTGGGCTTTTACTTGAACTTCTTGATTAAGAAGCCAAGAACCTAGAAACACCTGACCTTGGCCAGCAACAGCAACTTTACTGAATTCATTTTGTGAAAATACTTCATTGATTTCCATCCGTCATCATCTAGATCAGCCAAAAGCCAAAATTTATCATGATTACAGAGTGAGGTTGGCCTGGAAGACTTTGAAGAGCATAGTACACACATCTGAACAACAAGTCCCACCCAGTTTCAGGGCCAGCATTCTTCAGAGTTACCTATTTGAGACTGGGCGACCATCGTTGACTTCCGATCACAAAGTGGAGAAAATGGAAGCCCTAATTCAGCTTCTTTATCTCCCTGGGGAAAGAAAGATGAATTAACAGAATTAAGTTGGAGAATTTAAGGAAATGTGCCATCTATATAGAGTGACCTTAGACAACCACATTTTTCGTTTTTTTTTTAAGCAGTAATACTTACATAGTTTTTTATACCATCAAAATCTAAGCTTATGTAATTTCTCTTGAATAGTTTTCTTCTGAGGAATTGCTCTAGTGCTAACACATTTCTAAATAATGCTGTAGTGCCACAACCCAATGACTCTGAAGAGACAAATATTTCGGAAGTCCCTTGAACCAATCATCTCTGTACTATTGGGCAGTTAATTAACAACCAAGTTTATAGACGTTTTTTCATTTTCTAGATTCCACTCAACCAAGTTTTAAAAAGAAAGATTTTGCATTTGCTGCTTTTTCAAAATGCATGAGCACTTTTTGAAACCTCCTTCCATTCATTGACTAAGATTTATTAAATGTCTCACTGCAAATAATGATTTTATGATACAAGGTTCAAAAATATCAATAGTTAATTATTGAATAACAATATCCTTAAAATGTTTATATAGCATGAATCTTAAAAAGTCTTATTAATAAAACAAACCCAGGGTCAGGTATGGGGCAAATGCTTAAAGATCAGAGAAACGGAGCAAGCCACATCCAACTTCACCTTGCCAACTTCTCAGCTGATTTTGTTTCCTCAAATTAGAAGCTTCTGAATCCTCAACCAAATTGATCTCAGCTGAACTGCTGCTAAATGCTAAAAGCTTAAGAAGGCTTCTAGTTCCTGGTCCTCACGCCTTAATATACATTTCTGCTTTCTGCCATCACTTCCTGGGATTAAAGGCATATGTCACTGTGCCTGGCTGTTTCCAGTGTGACTTTGAACTCACTGAGATCCAGATGGATCTCTGCCTCCATAATGCTAGGATTAAAGGTGTGTGTGCCACCATTTTCTGGTCTCTATGTCTATCTAGTGGCTGTTCTGTTCTCTGACCCCAGGTAAGTTTATTAGGGTACACAATATATTGGGGGACACAATATCACCACAGGTTTATATTAAAATATAACAACACTAACATTGTTTAAATAGAAATAAGACAGCTGATAGACTTGATGGGAAACATGATGTTAAAGATATGTATTTGATATTTACAGACACAATTGTCCTTGATTGGCAGTACAATATTTGCATTTGGCTGATGTTATTGGTTGAGGAGCTGCTGTTTCTAGCTTAAGAACACAACAACAAGAAACAATCAGTAGCCTATTTCTATATTATATGGTCCTTTGAGAGACTGAAGAAGATTATTTAGGGCTGGTAAATGCACTATGATGATGTACTATGTATAAGTCCCATTTTAAAGAAAGCTGCTGGCACATTTTCATCTAGGATGTAAGCAGTTGACACTTATGCAGACTTGGCCTTTCTGTACACAATTAGGGGGTGTTGTTTTTCTGTTTTCCATACCTCTCAATTAATTTAGAATATAAAATTTCTGTTGCTAAGAGCACAGAATGCTAAGATGCAACAGTTATTCAATTTATTTATAAGTATTCCAAAGTGTTATTTATTTTTTGGAATGAATAAAGGCCATGGGTACCAGGTCAGCAGGGGGCCCTGAGCCAGACCATGAAAGAATTGGACAGAGCACCATAAATTACTGCTAAGGGAGAGGGGAGAGATGTACAAAGGGAAACTATGTTACTTTAGTGTAAGTTTGACCACCTTTACAAAATCCTTATTCTTTCCCAGGGCAGGGGATACTTACTTTTTATTTAAATGAAATCAAGGGTCAAAACAGGAGGCATTCTACATAACAACTACATAATATTTATCTTGAAAGTTGTGCATCCTATTGAAAGTACTATATTTAGAAAACCAAAAATATACTTTTAGAATCAAGAACTTATTACATAAATATATTTCCTAGTGTTTTAATTGATTTATGGAAGTAGTAAGAGAAAATGCCACACTCAATTAATTACGAAGTGCCTCCCTGTGATGCCCCCAGGTCTCAGCGTTGTGTTCTGGGGGATGAGCCTACAGGGACTGAAGCTGCAGAAGTGACCCCATCAAAATGCAGTGGGAGAGTCTGATGTCCAGCGTCTGAGAGACCTTACTTGTCTCAGCATTTCCTGCGTGGCTTGTCAAGGCTTCATCTTCTAATGACCGTGACAAACAGCTAATAATTGCTTTTTCTGCTTTCCAAACAGAGTAAAAAGGTTCTGACAGCTATCAGTGAGGTGTCAATCTAATACTTTATATTTTTGAATTTCACTAAAACTGAAACATTTTTCTGTAGTTTTAAATAGTTGAAGTAACTGAAGGAGAATGAAGGACAGAAGCCTTGGGAACCTTTCTGCACTGAGACCTGGTGTGAGTCTCAAGAGTAGTATCAGTTAACATTCAGACCACTGTCAGGCCCTAATGGTGGGGAGGAGATGAGGGACCCCTGGTTCCATAGGCAAGCTTAGATGGTGCACCTATTCAGAGTCCTTGGACAACCTGCATAAAGAATGTCTGCCCTGTGACTGCCTTCCTCCACTCTTTCTAAAATTGGCCCTCAGAAATTCTCACAAAGTCACCCAAACAGATTGCTTGTTTAATGGCTATAGTAACCACCACATCTACATTCAGTTATATTTATGGAGGAAAGTTATTGTGTATTTTTATTATATGTATTTTACCAATTGTTAGGTTTTCTTGTGTAGCTGCTGTTTACAGCACTTTTTCAACTCTTCGAACTAGCTTTGATTTTAACATTTTGAGCTATAGTTCTTTACATTCTTTTAATTTGGGAAGTTACAACTAACTGTAATTTTCATTGATGCCATGTCTTTGGCTGAGAATGGATTAACTGAGTGTATTTTTAGTAGTGTGGAGACAAAATTTACTTTGAAATGTCATACTTTATATGACATCTAGCAATACTAGAGAAAATTGATTATATACATCTTAGAGTTAAAAAAAATCAATTTGTCATTTCCTTACAGATATCCTACTTTTCAAATCATTTGTTTCTCTGACTTATAAGACAACATTGCTTAATAGATGTAGATTTTTCCTAAATTAAGATTGTTTCTGTGTGTCATAAAATAATGAGTTGGAAAGAGAAAATATTCATTTATTTATTGTGTGCACAGTGAAAAAATTAATGGAAGTAGTTATTTTTAAATTTAATTATGTTATCTTCACATCATGCCAACTACGATGTATTCAAGAAGAGATAAAGAGGTATGAATCTGTCTTCCTTTGCTGTTGGTTATCATTTTGCCTGGTACCTCTGTCTTCCATGTCAATCACAGTTGAAATGGATGGAGCATCTTCCAAATATATTCATTCTTGTCAAAAGCTTCTGTGTTGACTGTGGTGATAAAGTGTGTGTCCTAATAAACTTGCCTGAGGATTAGAGGGCAGAGCCAGCTACTAGACTAGACATAGAGGTTGGGCAGTGGTGGCACACACCTTTAATCCTTTCACTCAGGAGGCAGAGATCTGTCTGGATCTCTGTGAGTTCAAGGCCACACTGGGATCAATCAATGAGATTGATCCAGTATAGGAGAGAAACAAAGCCAGGCAGTGGTGCCACATACCTTGAATCCCAGCACTTGAGATCTTAATGCCTTTGCTTGGGAAGCACACATGCCTTTATTCCCAGGAAGTAATATGGTAGGGCAGAGAAAGTCATATAAGGCTTGAGAAAACAGGAACTCACTCTCTTTAGGCTGAGGATTTCGTAAAGGTAAGAACTAGTGGCTAGCTGTTCTACTTCTCTGATCTTTCAAGCAAGTTTATTAGGGTATACAATATATCACCACAGTTGACTTGATAAACACTCAAAGCAAAGACACTGTATGTACTGATAAACATGAAAATCTCGTGTCTTGAAGATGAGGGCCTGTCTAGCTTCCTCTGCCACAGGCACTTAATCAACGTCTAAAACCAGTGTTTCTCAAGATTATAGATTCTAGGTATGACCTTTGTCTCCTCTGCCACAACTTCTCCTGGTTAGAGAGTGAATTGAGGTGGCCAAACAAAGAGACGAAGAGAGCTGGTTGAAGATGAACAAAGAGCTGGTCTCCTTCACCCTGCCCTCCCTCCATATACATTGTGTTTAAAATTTCCTATGTCATTTGTCAGAAAGTAATGGACTAAACAAATTAGCATAAAATTGCCTTAGACATTAGCACAGCCCAAACTTTCTCTTAGTTTTCCTAATATGAGTTCATACACACAGAGAAGGGGAGGTGTGGAGATGAATAGATGGATGGAGGGAGGAAGAGAGGGAAGAAGTGTTGCACCTAAAAGTTCTCAAAGTTACATAATTCTTTAACTGCTTTATCTGATGTTTTAAAATTTATATTCATCTTCTAATTTTGCTCAACACCAACTGAAGAACCAAGTGTAGTAGTGCATGCCTTTAATGCAAGCACTTGAGGACTGAAGCAGAAGGAGTGCACTAAATTCAAAGCCAGACTGGGCTACAGAGTAATTTCTAGGCCAGAATGTGATGCAGTGTGAGATCCTGTCTCAAACTGAAACAAAAAGAAAAAAATCTAAAATAAGACAAGAATGACAGTTGAAGAAATTCCAAGTGTAGGGGTATCAGAAGTCAGCCTTTGGCCTTGAAGGGTACCCACACACATGTGGCATACTCTGATCCAGACACATACCCATATATAAGAAAAAAAATAAATCTTATGAAAAACAAAGACAAATTTGCTTTCTGCCCCACCATTTTATAATTGTTTCATTTGCATTGTGGAAAGTCTTTCACAACTTATTTGCTTTGGTGTCTATAAAGAAAATCACATGACTGCAGATGTCTAGCCTTATTTCTGGAATCACTGTCATATTGCATTGATCTATTTCCCTGTCTATATGCCAATGACAGACTGGTCATTTCTATATTATGAAATGTTAATTATGTAATATGGGACAGTGGATGCTCCAACTCTTGAGTCTTTTACAGAATTGCCACGGCTATTTAGATCCATGCATTTCCATTTGTGTTGTGGGATCAGAGTTCCAGCTTCCACAAAGAGGTCTGATAATATTTTTATAACACAATCTAGACATTTTAATCAAATTTGAAAGAACCTATATATATTAGTGATATTGAACCTTCTAATGCATTGTTCTGCCTACCATTTGTCAACTAGATGTAAGTTTCTGTTATCTTGGAAGAGCAAACCTCAATTGAGAAGATATCTCCATCAAACTGGCCTGTAGGTAATATTGTGAAGCCATTTCCTGATTAATGATTGATGTGAGGGGACCCAGCTCATTCTGGGTAGTGTCACCTCTAGGTAGGTAGTTCTGGGTAAGCCATAAAGAGCAATCTAATAAGTAGTGCCCCTACGTAATCCTGCTGCAGTTTCTGCCCTAGCTTCCCTTGATAACGGCTGTAACTTGTAAGATATAATAAACTCCTTCCTACTCAACCTGGTTTTGGTCAGTATTTTTGTCACAGCCACAGACAACAGACTATGGAACTCATTAACATAGACTATCTGTCCATTTATGCATATATATGTTATATATACATAAAATTAAAATTTATCTTACTATACTTTTTTGCTTTTCAGGTAGTGGCTGTATATGAATTTAGTTAAATGTAATCCTTAATACCTTGTATTATACTCTCATAAGTAACATTATGTTTTAAACCTAATTTTCAAATTTTTCCTTGCTTGTGTACAGAACTACAACTCTGTAAAATCATGTATTGGTTCTACTGGCTTTTGCAATAAGGGAAGTTTCATTTTATCCACTCTATTCAGTATTTCCTCTTAGAGCTTCTTTTTTACTTATTAGAACTTCAAATGAAACATTTAATAGAAACAGAGCTGATACACAGATCTTAGCATAAAAAGGTTCTGCATTTCATCTTCAAGCATTGCATTAGTTATGACCCTTTGACCCTTTACTGGGCTCAAAGGCATTTCCTAGCTACTTTTCTGGGAGTTTGTGTAATTAAAATGCTGGATTTTGTCAAATGCATTCTGTGAATCTATTGACATGACAATGTGATTTTCCCTTTTTATTCTTTTGACTTAGTTCAGTGTACTTTTAAAATAATGTTCTACATGCAAGCTCAAGCCATGGTACGTATTCTTTTACAATATTATTGGATTTGACTTGCTAATATTTTAAGAGTTCCCCATCTAGATTCATGACAGATATTGGTTATAATTTCCTTTATTTGAAACATCTTTGTCAAGTTTTATGAGAGATATACTTCCAATTTTCTTCTTTCTCTATCATGAAAAATTTGTGTAAAACTGACATTACTTCTTTCTTAAAATTCTTGAGAAAATTGATATTTCTCAGCTGAATTTAATAATGGGAATTGAAATTAAAGTTAAGAACTGGATCCCTCTGATCCCAGGTTTTCATTTTTTTAAAGAATTAACTAATTTTATGAGTATGGGTGTTTTGCCTGTATGCATGTCTGTGAATTACACGTGTGCCATGCCTGGTGTGCACAAAAACCAGAAGGGGGTGTCAGATTCCCTAGTCCCAGAGTTACAGATGTTGTGAGCAGCCATGTGGTTGCTGGGAATCGAATCCAGGTCTTTTTTCCTGTGAAAGAGCAGCCAGTCCTCTTACCTGTTGAACCATCTCACTAACCCAAATCCTGGATTTTCTTATGTAGAACTGTATGTAAATTCAAGTAAATGTAAGTATATGAATATTCAGGTTGTAGCTTTGTTTTATTTCTATTTTGATAATTTATATCTTTTTCAAAGATTTAGGGAATTTTATTTCTGTTTTCAATATGTTTGGCATAAATTGTTCATACTATTTCATACTCTTTTGACGTATATAAGCTCTATTATAATAACCCATCTTCCATGTATATTTCTCCATCCTTTTGGTCCTGTATGTAATTTCATTATTTTGTCAGCATGTCAGTTTTTGTCTCTATTAATTTTGGCTATTGTTTATCTTTGTTCAACTTTAGTTCAATTTTCTTAAATTTTACCTACATTCTTAAGATAAAAAAGAGATCAGAGATTGTATCCTTTTGGTTTTTTAAATAATACAATTATATAATGTTACAAAATGTCCCCTAAGTACAGTCTTAGTTGCAGTCAACAGATTGCCGTATGTTATGCTTTTTTTTCACACCTATGCAATGAAATTCACAATACTGTGCACACTGAAGTTCAGAGGAGATTTTGGGTTTATACTCATGATCCAGCAAAGTGCCATATAGACATAGAGACCATATAGACACCCATGTCTGGGCGACTCCCTGCCCTTTTCTTAACTGCTTTATCTGGCCATTACTGGATCACATCCTTTATGATAAAATTCTAATTGCCAGCATAGTATTAGCCCTGAGTTCTATGGTCTAACAAATTACCAACTCTAGAATGGATTGTAAGAACTGAATTTGTAACTAGCTGGTTAGAAACCAACATTTCTATGTCCCACAGCTCCACTAGGGCTGAAGTCTGAAGTGGAGCCTGTCTTTTGGAAGACTGAGCCTTTAACTTGTGGAGTTTAACCCAAACTTGAGTAGTTAGCACCATGTTTGTACTAGAGTACCCCAACTTTGGATTCAGAGATGTTAGACAGAACAGGGGTGCTACACAAGAGACAGCTTGTACATGCTGCAGCAGAGAGCAGGGCTCTCCTCTCCTCTAGGCTTATATTGGTTTTTTCAGTTAAGCACGTGTCTGCTCAGCTTCTTTTTCCTTAGCCTCCTTTGCAGCTGTGCATGGGGTTAGATTTTTGCCAGGAAGATATACATAGAAGTTTGTGTGCCCTCCTTCCTCTTTTCATTGTGCAGGCTATTTGCTGTCTCCAATCTCCAACTTACCTCTTAATAATGTAATGATTCTAACCTGGTTTTCAACTCCCTTCTTTCCTGACTGCCACGTTCTCATATTTAAGACATTACTTGCTGTGGAATAATCCTTTTGTACACTGTGAAGATTTGTCACTGTGATTGGTTTAATAAAGAAACTGACCGGCCAATAGCTGAACAGGATAAAGTCAGTCAGTTGGGAAAGCCAAATTGAGAATGCTGGGAAAGAGACAGGCCAAGTCGCCAGCCAGAAGGAAAGGAGGTAAGACATTCAGGAGAGGTAAATGCCACAAGCCTCATGGCAGAATGTAAATTAACAGAAATGGGTTAATTAAAGTTGGAAGAGCTAGTTAGTAATAAACCTGAGCTATCAGTTGAGTCTCTAAGTCAGTTGTTTGGGAAGCAGCTACCGGTTATTTGAGAGTAGCTGCAGGACAGAAAAAACTCTGCCTACAATTACTCTCTTTAAAAGACAATTAATACTCTCTGGGGTTATCTAATGTATTTCCCTAAAACATTACTAAATTCTCACAAGCACACTAACTATGTGCTTTGGCTAATTGAAAACATAAGTCAGAAGCACTAGAACAAAGTTACATCAGTATTCACAGCTGCTGTTTCCAAAACAGAGTGAAAAAGTCACCTGCAGGAAAAACTCCTCCATTAGGGCCATGGTCCACCTATAGTGCAGCTTCCAAGTCTTGGCTGGGTGGCTGATGTCGGCTGCATGGAGTATCAGGGACATAGTTTTGGCTCTGTCAATCCTGCCAAACCAAAGACATGTTCAAATTACCAGAACCAAATAATCAGCTACTGTTTTGTAAGGCCATCCCCCAGAACATGAACATGACGCAAGGAAACAACCTACCCTTCAGGCTGCTGCAAACTGTTTCTTATGTTTTTAATTTGCTGGAAATGACCTGACATGTCTGTAGATAACACCATTTCAATCACTAAGTTCCGAAGATCCCTGCAGAGGCATCAAAAAGAGAATGGTTCATTTGATTCTTCCTGAGCTCCGAGAGGGACATTTCTGAAAATATCCACGATTACACTATTTTTCCTAACAATTATAAGCACTAAATGTAACAGTGCTCACAAAAGTTGGACATTATTTTAATCATTAACATTCATGATCATTTGAAAAAAAAACCATGCCACTTAATTGTCTCATTAAAAAGGAGATGTTTTCTGTTTGCAGGCCACAACATTTCTTGCCAGCTCATAATTGCTAAGTCTTGTCTTGTTGTTGTTGTTTATGTTTTCTGCTTGAAATGATCCTTGGCCATTTTTTTTTTTTTTTTTTGGTTTTTCGAGACAGGGTTTCTCTGTGTAGCTTTGCGCCTTTCCTGGAACTCACTTGGAAGCCCAGGCTGGCCTCGAACTCACAGAGATCCGCCTGGCTCTGCCTCCTGAGTGCTGGGATTAAAGGCGTGCGCCACCACCCCCTGGCGATCCTTGGCCATTTTAAAGAGATACTGTTATAAATATAATTATGTGTGGGTACATGTGCATGATCTCGGAGGCCCGAAGTCAAACTCAGAGGTACTGTCCACATTGTTTTTTGAAACAGTGTTTTTCACTGGCTTGGGGCTTGACCATTAGGCTAGGCAGGCTGGGCAGCAAGTCCCAGGCATTCCCCTATCTCTGCCTCCAGAGGGCTGAGATGTCAAGCATGTCCTACCATATCTGGCATTTTCACACAGGTTCTGGGAACTGAACTAAGGTCATTGTACTTATATGGTATGTGCTTTAGTAACAGCCACACTTTGTTCCTAAATGTAAATTTGAGTGCTGTAGAAGTAAGACACATAATCAGTGGGGCTTGAGGATATTCGAAATCTATGTGGCCAGCAAAATTGGTTAGCTTAGTGCCCTATGGAAGGGATCTGAAGGAGCATGGTTTCTCAAGGCACTTCCTGCGCTTTCCTCATTTTACCAGTATTTATCCAGTCAATGTACAGATTTAGGATTATGCAGTAATTCCTTTATCAGTATGCTAAACATCTAATTCCGATCATACACCTGCAAAGGGCTATTAATATTCCCCTCCAGAGGAGATTTCATTTGCTCAATTGTGCAGTTAGGATGTGGCTGGGATAAGAGGCAACCAGAATTTCCACTCCAAAAGCTGACCCTTGGACCACTCCACAGCGTCCAGCAGCCATCACAGGAGCCTCAGAGAAGTCCAGATGCTAGTGAGAGGAACCCGATCCTCTATAAAACAGACATTTACATTGGCACTATTTAAGCTTTTAACCAAGACGCCATAGTGTAAATACAGTGACCATATCACAGAGTCTACGTATGAGTAACACATTCTCACTCTAAGTAGAAAACTGAGTCATCCTAGCAAAGGCTCATAGAGACAGACAAGAAATCAATTATATTTTGTTTTCACCATGGGGCCAGTATTCTAAGTTAAAACAAGGCATGGAGCACCTTGAATCAAAATATTTTTAGCTGGGCAGTGGTGGTGCATGCCTTTAATCCTAATACCCGGGAGGCAGAGGCAGTTGTATCTCTGAGTTCAAGGCCAGCCTGGTCTACAGAGCAAGTTCCTGGACAGCTAGGGCTTTACAGAGAAACCGTGTCTGGAAACTCTTACTCTCCTAAAAAAGCTTGTACATAAAAGATGATTTATTTTTCAAAATAGCAACATATTAGAATTGTTATTGAAAATGCAGGTGCTCAGTTAAACTTTATTTTAGATGAAGGCAACAAGAACTCAGTATTAAGCTATCATTTCTAATACTGGGCAACCTGCTTAGAATAATTTATCCAGATACTCAGGTAAATAAAGAAATTGAAGATAGTTAAGAAAATTATTCCCAATTACAGTTTTTTAGATGAAATTTTAACAGGATTCACATTATCAACTGGACACAATATTTGTTAACTAAGAAAATTGAGACAAAATTTTGTGAAGTTTATACAGTGTAATAAAAATGCTATGCTTTCCATTTAAATACTCAATAAATTCTAGATGTTATATTAATAAACTGGGAAAAATATTATACAAGAGAAATACAATGTGTAAAATATTGTTATAAAAGGAGCAACTATTTTATTTGTAACAAAAAACTAAAAAGATTTGAGGGCAGAAAATTACAGGTCTTTAACAAGATAACCGAATTTCAATGCTCAGTAAAATTTATGCTATATCAGTAAATGGGTACTTTGTTGGTGATTGGAAAGCATTAAATCTATTAAATTTTACAGTCTATGTGATTATTGTACTATTTGTTAACACAACAATACAAAAAATGTCTGAAGTTACTGAAGAGAAACATAAGAGGGCAAAGAAAAAAAACAGTAAATAAAATCATACTGAAAGAGCAAGATTTAACATGGAGAAAGAAAATAAAGATAATTCAACGGAAAGACAATGAAAGTCAATAATGTACATGTTACTCCTGGGAGAAGCATACAGTATTTTCGTCCACACTGAGGGTCATGTTAGTATAGTAGTAAGTTTTGTTCAAGTAGATAAAGGTCTTTATTTTCTTAAGGCTAAGCTCCCCAATAGCAAAATACTAGATAGAATAATGAACATGAAGCTGAATTGAGACAGAGGAGGAGTGGGTGGATGCAGAGGGAGGTAAATGGGAGTCAGGAAGGGGGAGACAGGAAGAGAGGAGGAAGGGGAAACTGTGGTTAGTATGTAAAATAAAGGAAAAATGTTAATTTAAAAAAAGGATGAACATGATGCTAAAATTTTGAATTTATATAAGCTACATACTGATTAAAAATAAATCCAAGCTCCACTACAGACTGAATGATTATGTCCCCTAAGCATTTGTGGTGGTGTGATATGTGGCTTTACATGTGTGTGGGGGCACTGAATTGATCTGAAGAGAGTTCTTGTCTGTCCAGCAGCAGAGATGTGTGCCTGGACTGAGCCTTCAAAGGCCTGCTCCTCAGAGTGTCTAGTCAGCAGGTGCTGAGTTGGTAATGGGAGAAGACCTGGGATTTCATCTGTTTTTCTTACTTTAATAACATAACTTACATTGTTCTTGGGGTTCAATTTCCTCTGAAACTCACCTCCAGTCATCTTTAGATAAGTTTACCAAGATATTCATTTCCTCCTCTTGCATAAGTCGGTAGGCCGCACTCACGTGGTGATTCTCGAGCACAGAGCGGTCATTGTACAGAATGGCAACATCTGACCTGGAAATTGAAAGCAAACACCCCGATGAGAATTTCTTCAGACTGAGATTTTAATAGTAAATCATCAAGTTTAAGTCATCTCACTGGTTGAAATCCTGTCATTGAACACAGAACACCATGTTAAGTGACCATTTAAAACCTGTATAATAATTTCACATTTGAAGCAGACTTAAGTGGTATAGCAGTTTCTATTGCCATTGCCAGAAGGACTGCAGAGAATTCAGTTCCCCTTTATACCGTCTGCCTCCACAGTGTGGTGCTTGGGAGGACAGTGTTCATGTTATTGCTTTTGTTGTGTTTTCTTTCCCCAAATGTCACAGAATTGGAATCGTGCAGTAGACTGTCTTCACAGATTGGCTCTTTTCACTTACCAGTACGCATTGGAGCTTCAATCAGGCTGCTTTCTTATTCTTATTTTAAAACATTCTTTGTGTGTTTTAAATAATAGTCCTTTGATAACCATGTCTCGTGCATATATTGTCCCCCTGTCTGTGTCTTGTTTTTTTATTTTTTTAACAATGTCTTTGGCAGGGCAGTTTTAATTTTAAGGAAGTTCAGCTTTCAACTCTTATTTTCATACACAGTGCCTTTGGTGTTGTTTTCGGTCATTATTAAACCCTGAGTCATATCAACTTTCTCTTGTGCTGTCCTTTGCAATGTCATGATTTGTGTTTTATGTTTAAGTCTGTGATCCTTTTGAAGGATGTATGGTCTGTATCCTAACACATTTCATGCTGCTGAAGCAGGAGGATACTTGCAGTTATTTTATACATTATAGAGATTCATTTCCCATAATTCTGGAGACAGGAGAATTTGAGACGAGTGTGCCATCATCTGAAAAGCTCTTTCTTGCTGCATTTCTGTGGACCACATGAAAGAAGGGCAGAGATATGGAGAGGAGAGCAAAGCCTCTCCCAAGAGTCCTTTCATAATGGTAGTATGTTCGTGCAGGGGTAGTCCTTATGACCTACATACTCCCAGTCAGGAGTGGCCTCCCCTAACTGGTGCATGCAGGTTCGGTTTCCGTCCCATGAATTCTAGAGGACACGCTCAAACCATAGCAGTTTGCATCCACTCTGTGTTCTTTCTGTATATGGGTGTGCAGGTTTTCTAACACCATTTACTGAAAAGATTCTTGTCGTTCCAAAGCCTTACTTCCTTGGTCAAAGACCAGCCAAGTAGGGGCTGCAGAGATGATGGGTCAGCAGTTACAAGACGTTCCAGAGGACCAAAGTTCAGTTCCTGGCAATAGTGTCAGGAGACTCACACTGTCTGTATCTCCAGGCTCATGAAAATGTCCCCTACAGGAACCAGAACATACATGGCATACACACATACACATAAGTAATAAAAATAAATTAATTAATTAAATAAAACAAACCTTTTTCTAAAAAAAAATCAATTGGCTAAATATTGTGGGTCCATTTCTGTGCTTTTTAGTCTGTTCCATTTTTCTAAATGTCTATTCTTTCATTAATATCACACTTTCTGATTATTACAGATTTGTAGTCACTACTAAACCACATTTCTCACCTCAAAGGAGATAGTCTATTTTAGAGCGAAATACGAATGATCATGGCTCAGGATACAGACTTGGGTTACCCCCAAATCCCATGTTTTAACATCATAACAATTTTGTGCAAGAACAAAGAAAATTTAAAAATTAAGACATTTTGAAAATACATTAATAGAAGCGTCAGGCGGTTCTCAGAGGTGTATGGAAAGCTTTGCTCTAGGCCTCAGAAGTCATCTGATGACATTCTTAGTCTGTTGGTTGTGGAGAATGAGGGGTCCCTGCACTCCAAAAGATTTACTGATGGCTACAAAGTTGTTAGATCACATAGAGAGGAGGTCAATAAACGGCTTTGAGGGGGCTTAAGGTGGCCCAGTATAATTTGGCTCTGGACTTGCAACATTTTAACTTTACCACATTATTGAATTTCTAATAAATTAATTAGCCTTGCAAAAGTCTGAGTGCACAGTATGGTTTTTCCATGAGTTTTTCACAGTTGTAAGCTTTAAAGTGAGGGGGAATAGTCCTCTAATTTTATTTAGTTCCATGTTAGATGAACTATTCTGGAACTCTTCTTTCTCCATACAAACTTTAGACAATATCCACAGAACAAATACACGAAATAAAAATCTGATTGGGATTGCATTGGATCTATAGAGCAACTTGGGTCAGGTCAAATCACATTTTGACCAAAATGAGTTTTTCTCCCCATGAACGTGAATTACCTCTTCTCTTTGTTTCTTCCATCAGAATCTTATGGTTTTCCTTCTCTAGATTTTTCCACACATTTTATTAGATGTATACCAAGCATTTCAGTTTGGGGATGCTACTGTAAATGGTACTGCATGTTCAAAGGGAATATCTCCTTGTTCGTCTCTGGTGGGTAATAAAGCTGTTGACTCAGAATGCCGCGATGCATTAGCCTTGTGTCCTGTAGCCCTGCTGTAGCACTTCAGCTGCAGGGCTTGCTTTGGTCTTCTGTCGGTTCTTGCAGACATACTACACAGTCATGTCACTGTAAACAGATAGCTGTATTTCTTCCTTCTCAATATAAATAATCCCAATTTCTGATCTTACTGTGTTGGCTGGTTCTTGGGGCCATATTGAAAGTCTGGGGGTGGAGGTGGGATAGCCTTCCCTTTTGAAACAATACAGTGTATAGTGGCTAGACTGATCACTATTACATATTAGTTCACATACTTACCACTTTTGTAAAATATTTAAAGTCTACTCCTGGTCATTTTCCAGAATGTAATATATTGCTATTAATGGTGGTCCCTGTTATATAATTCCACTTGTTAACTTATTCCTCTCATCTAGGCGAGATTTTAGTCATTTTCCAGAATGTAATACATTGCTATTAATGTAATAAATGCTATTAATTATATAACATGGTAGTCCACATGTTATATAATTCCTCTGATAACTTATTCCTCTCATCTAGGTGAGATTTTAGGCCTTTTGATCAACATCTCCTAACTGTTCCCCTCAGCACCCAGTGACTACCACTCCATTCCAGGACATATCCTTCATCAAATTGAGGTTATTGTTAACTGTTTCTAGTTTATTGAATTTGGACCATGAATGGATATTAGATTTTGTGAAATACTTTTCTACATATCTTGGTATGGTTCCATTTCTTCTTTAGATTTTTGGATTGAATTTAATGTGTTGAATTGCAGATAGCTTGCATACCTGGGATAATTGGCCATGGTGCTAATTTTCCCTTTAATTATCATAGTTTAAATATCTATATGCCCTTTCCCTTCCATTTAAAATGCTGACATCTGTAATATAATCTAAATATCCAAAAGAAAAAAAAATTTAGTTCATCCTTATTCAGTCAGTGAACGACTAACCTCTTTTTGCCCTATTTCAAGTAGTTAATTACATCCTCATTCATTTGACCCCAATTTACTTTAGGAGGGGGATAAAGAGTATAATGGAAATCACTTTCTCCCACACATTTCTGTGATTAAATTTGAATATTGCAGATGCACTCGCTGTAAATTAGGATGGAGAAAGTTGTTTTCAGCACAAGTTTATGGCAGACATTTTACTCTCAAGCTGTTGAATTCATCAAGAGTCTTTTATTTCTCATCTGACTATATTTTCATATAATATAAACTCCAAACTAGTAAACTACTTCAATTTGTCTGGATAGACTTGATATTCTAGTCCAAGGTATGGACCAGTTGCAAGCATTCTGGGTTCTGTGAAGTGGAGTCGTGGCCTCTTCATTCTCTCCTCCTAGAATGTCAGGTATGGATTGGAAGCAGAAGGGTTGTTTGCAATATCTTCAGTTGGTGAGCCAGCCCCACAGGCTAGCACAGTGAAAGGAAGCAGCAGTGATAACAGGCAAGAGAAAGTGAAAGCCCACACCAACTGCACTATTACACGCCTCCTAGAGCCTAGTATCTCTTGCAGTCCTTTTTCTTCTTAGATATATTTGCTGTGTGTGTTGGTTGGCTTTAGGTCAATTTGAAATAATCTAGACTAATTGGAAAGAGGGGCTCTCAAGTGAAAAAATGCCTCTATAACATTGCCCTGTAGGTAAACCCATGGCCCATTTTCTTGATTAATGATTGGTGTGGGAGGGCCCAGCCATTTGTGAGTGGTACCATACTTGGGATGGCGGTCCTGAGCTGTGTAAGAAAGCAGACTGAGCAAACTAGTAAGCAGCACTCCTCCATGGCTGTCTCTGTTTTCAGTTCCGTTCCTGACTCCAGGTTCCTACTTTGAGATCCTACCCTGACTTCCCTCAGTGAAATGGTGCAACCTGAGAGTTGTAAGCTGAAATACACCCTTTCCTTCCCACGCTGTGTTTTATCACAGTAATAGAAAGCCTGACTAAGACACTGTGGTAAGGAACTGTGTTGCACAAAATGGACTGTCTCTGGCTTTTTGATGGATAGGGTTCTAGTTACAACCTAGCTCTCACCTGTTACTGAATGCTTATTGATGAGCACGCAAGTACAAAACAAGGAACCAACATTATCACTAAAACAATACAAAAAAGATGGGTGAATGTGTAAGATGATTTGCTCCTCTGTAGTAGCCATTTGCTATGTAGACCATAAAATCTTGCTGTCTGCATTATCCAGACATAATATTTTTAAAAGAAGAAACAAAAAAATCTGACATCTCCTGCAAGCAGTGTCTTCAAGAGCATCATTTAATAGTCTGCCAGATAAAGCAAGCCTTTTGCCAACTCCGAATAAGTGAATCAGCCTATCAATTGCTAGATTAACCCCTCACTCCTATGCATCCTGCACTGTCACAAAGATGAAATTGTGTGTGTGTGCCTAACTAATGTCATATATCTTTCAACAATCTCACAACCTAAAACTTACTTAACTAACAAACATAGCTCAACACAAAAGAAGGTCATATGTAATCTGTATTTAAGGGATAATTAAATCAATATTAACTGAACAAAATGCCACATATATTTCCAGAAATTTGCTGATTATAGGAAACCTATGGT